TATATACAAAAAATTAGCCAGGCATGGTGGCGCATGCCTGTAGTCCCAGCTACTCGGGAGGCTGAGGCAGGAGGATCGCTTGAGGCCAGGAGTTAGAGATTGCTGTGAGCCAGGCTGACGCCACGGCACTCACTCTAGCCTGGGCAACAAAGTGAGACTCTGTCTCAAAAAAAAAAAAAAAAAAAAGGTATCTGTCCTGGTCTTGTTATATGGATAATAATAATAAAAAATAATAGCAGCTGTATAGCATTTCTTCAGCATTTATTCTGTGTTCTTCGCTTACCCTGGTCTGACTGATTTACTGGTGTTAACACGTTTAATCTTCCCAATGACTCCGAAGAGTTAGACAGTATGACTCCACTCTTCCTCATTTTATAGATGACGTTAAATAATTAGCCCAGGGTCCTGAGATCAGTTTGTGGGGGAGATGGGATTTGAACTTGGGGGGGGAGCTCTGGTCTGTTATGTGGATAATAGTAAATAACATAATGCAACTGTCTAGCATTTCTTCAGCATTTATCTGTGTTCTTCTCTACCCTGGTCTAACTGATTTACTGGTGTTAACAGGTTTAATCTTCCCACACTCCGAGGTTAGACACTATGACTCCACTCTTCTCATTTTAATAGATGACGTTAAATAGTTTGCCCAGGGTCCTGAGATCAGTTTGTGGGGGAGGTGGGTTTGAACTTGGAAGGCCGCTACCTCAGCCTCTGGGAGGCTGGCTGGTGAGAGCAGTCCACTTGGCTCTAGTTTTCTTACAAATTGAAGCTTCTTTTCAGCAGACTTCTGAGACCTCCACACATCTTGCCACAAGCACGAAGCAAAATATAAAGTATTGGGTGCACATCGTGTTTCATGCTACCGTCACTTTCCACGTGCCAGTTGGCTTAGTTTTAACTCAGTCTAAGATCCACTACATCTGTGATATACCAAGGTTCTGCGGCTCCCGCCAAAGCTGGATTTTTAAAGTCTATTTGTAGCTTAGGAATTCATGGAAATTTCATTTTCAGTTAAGAAAAGACCCTGTTTTCCGGGCTGGCGTTCACCCTTGCTGTGCTAGCTTCCTCGCGTGTAACTATCTTCTTGTTTCACAGACCTCCACTTAAATTCAGTTTGCCCACAACCCAATTAAACGTTAATTTTCCATCAGATCGTTTTCTTTGGGCCAGCTTCGGCGGTGGTCAGTTTCAACATAAAAAATAATTTACTTCCAGTAAGCTGCCCTCGATCAGAAACTGTATTTTACAAGGTTTTGCTAGAAAGTCGCTCTTTGAAAAAGTGATTATTAGGTAGTTAAGGATCACCGCGATGTTCTTTTTTTCCCCCTACTTTTTCTCAATCATCTCTTTCCGAAGTGGCATTGCTTAGTGTTTTCTGCTTAAGCAATATCGTTCCCTTATTCCCAAGGTTATAATACTCTATGCTTGGGAGGAACCCTGTCGGCATGTAGGAGCCTCAGCTTCATGGCATTTCAAGCTAACGATAACACGTCATGAGCTAATCAGAATTCATGTGGAATTCAGAAGCTTCATCTCTGATCGGGTTTTCACTATTCATCCTGTGAGTTGCTGTGAGTTCAGAATCAACCAGCATGATGATAAGTTCAAAAATCACTAGGATCCTCAATCATGAAAATTTGTAATTTTTAGGGGAAACTTTTCAATTTCCTGAACATTTCTTATCATTTTATTATTATTCTTTATATTTATATATTTATTTATTTTTTTGAGACAGAGTCCTCGCTTTGTTGCCCAGGCTAGAGTGGTGCCGTGGCGTCAGCCTCGCTCACAGCAACTCAAACTCCTGGCTCCAGCGATCCTCCTGGCCTCAGCCTCCCGAGTAGCTGGGACTACAGGCATGCCCCACATGCCCGGCTAATTTTTTCCATATATATTTTTAGTTGGCCAATTAATTTCTTTCTATTTTTAGTAGAGATGGGGGTCTCACTCTTGCTCAGGCTGGTCTCGAACTCCTGGACCTTGAGCGATCCTCCTGCCTCAGCTCCGCGTAGCTGGGCTACAGCGCTCGAGCATGCCACGCCTGGCTAATTTTTTTCTCTATATATTTTTATAGTTGGCCAGTTAATTTCTTTCTATTTTTAGTAGAGACGGGGTCCCTCACTCTTGCTCGCCTGGTTCGAACTCCTGACCACCTTGGAGCGATCTCTCCTCCTCGGCTCCCGGAGTGGCTTAGGATGACAGGCGTGAGCCACCGCGCCCGGCCTGTGGCTAATTTTTATTAATACCTTCCGTGGCCGCTGTAGGCTGGGAAGCAGGCCCGCGAGCCATTTGAGAGCGCGTCAGGCTCTGTGCGCGTGTGACTTATTCCAGTTTGCCCTTGACGTTGTCACAGGCGGCTTTGGCTGCGCCGTTGAGACCTGCTCGTTGTTTTTGCTCAGATCAGACGCCCCTCCCTGAGCGGGATGCCCACCAGGTCTCTGGAGGAGATTAAAAGCCTGTTCCAGAGGTTGTCGGTGCGAAGGTCAAGTTCACCGTCGCCGGCCGGCGGGAGGGAGGCAGCGTCTGCGGTTCCAGGCGCCTTGGTGAGCAGACTGCCTCTCTTTGGCCGGGCGAGGCTGGCCTCCCCGGTGGAGGAGGAGGAGGGCTCCAAGAGGCCCAGGGACGGTCCCCAGGGCGCCAGCAGCTCGGCCTGCTGCGGGGAGACCGAGGGACGGGGCAGCGACCCGGGACTCAGCAATGGCAAGGTGAGCCCTCGCTGGAGGCCCGCCGGCCTCTGGCCTCTGCTACGAGGCGGAGAGTCCGGACGAGGCGGCCCTGGTCTACGCGGCCAGGGCCTACCGGTGCACCCTGCAGGCCCGGACGCCGGAGCAGGTCACCGTGGACTTGGCCGCCTTGGGGCCCTTGACCTTCCCGCTGTTGCACGTCCTGCCCTTCGACTCCGCGAGGAAGAGGATGTCCGTGGTGGTCCGGCACCCGCTCTCCAACCGGGTCGTGGTCTACACCAAGGGCGCCGACTCTGCCATCATGGAGCTGCTCTCGCCACCGTCCCCCGGTAGGTTCCCGAGAAGGTGACCCCGAGGGAAGGGATCGGAGGTGAAAGGGCCTCTGGCTCCCGCCTGTCATGCTAACTAGCACTCTGGGAGGCCGGGCGGGAGGAATCCTCTCCAGGTCAGGATTTGAGGCCAGGCATGGTGGCTCCCGCCTGTCATGCCTAATTCGCACTCTGGGAGGCCGAGGCGGGAGGATCACTTGACCTCAGGAGTTCGAGCCCCGGGCATGGTGGCTCACACCTGTCATCCTAGCACTCTGGGAGGCCGAGGCGGGAGGATCGCTCTCGAGGTCAGGAGTTCGAAACCAGCCTGAGCAAGATGGAGACCCTACGCCTCTACTAAAAATAGAAAAGAAATTAATCGGCCAACTGCAAAAATATATATAGAAAAAAAATGAGCCAGGCGTGGTGGCGCATGCTGTAGTCCAGCTACTCAGGAGGAGAGCTGAGGCAGGAGGATCGCCTGAGCCCAGGAGTTTGGAGGCTGCTGTGAGCTGGTCGCTGACCCACGGCACTCCTTTAGCCTGGGCAAGAGAGTGGACTCTGTCTCAAAAAAACCATAAACCTAAAAAGATAAAATACAGGACCGGACAATGCTCGATCAGCTTACAAAATAAAGAAAGCAGAAGTAGTTGCTTAGGGCTCGGTTGCACAGGGTCGGGCAGGGGGAAGCTGCCTCCCGTTTGGCGGGAAAGCAAATAGGTTTCGGGGCTACCCAGGTCTGGTTCGGGTCTGACCTCCATCGATAGCTGTGTTTTGATAAAGTCACCTAACTGTTCCGTGCCTCAGTCTTCCATGCAATGGGTCTTTTTTTTTTTGCCCAGGCTAGAGTGAGTGCCGTGGTGTCAGCCTAGCTCATAGCAACCTCCAACTCCTGGGCTCAAGCGATCCTCCTGTCTCAGCCTCCCGAGTAGCTGGGACTACAGGCAGGCGCCACCATGCCCGGCGAATTTTTTCTCATATATCATTTGTTGGCAATTAATTTCTTTCATATTTTAGTAGAGAGGGGCTCGACTCTTGCTGAGGCTGGTTTCGAACTCCTGACCTGGAGCGATCCTCCCGCCTCGGCCTCCTAGAGAGCTAGGATTACAGACCTGAGCCACCGCACCGGCCATGCACAGGGTCTTACGTAGCCCCTTTATAGGTTCCTGAGAGGTTTAGTGACACACAATGTGTGAACAGCCTTTGGCCAGGTGCCTAGCAAATTCAAATACTCGGTAACTGTCAGCACTATTGTAGTTATTGTTGTTATCATGGATGGTTTCCGAACTAGGTGTTAAAAAATTTGTTTCTGAGACAGAGTCCTCGCTTTGTTGCGCCAGGCGTAGAGTGCGTGCGTGGCGTCAGCCTCGCTCACCAGCAACCTCAAACTCCTGGCTCCAAGCGCAATACCTCCTGGCCTCAGAGCCTCAGCCGAGTAGCTGGTGACTTGGGAGAGCAGCGGCATGCGCCAGACCTATGTCTGACTACATTCCTTTTTCTCATATGTTTTAGTATGGCGCCATTCGCCTCTCTTTCTATTTTATATGTAGAGACGGGGTCTTGCTCAGGCTGGTCTCGAACTCCTGACCTCGAGAGCAATCCTCCCACCTGGGCCTCCCAGAGTGTTAGGATTACAGGTGTGAGCCACCGCGCCTAGCCGGGAACAGTGTTTTTTTTTTTTTTTTTAATAAGTTCTTGGTATTTTCCTCTGCCCAAGGGAAAAGGAGAAAGGTTTGTTCTGAGGGGGTCCCCTTTATAAATAGCCATCTGGGATTGAAAACCAGAAAGCCTTTTGTTTCTTGCGGATTAAGCCGTCACTGTCTGTAAAAACGTGTCTGTCACTGGGCAGACGGGTAGGACCGCCCCTGCTTTGTTCGTCGTTGCAGGTGAAGCAAGTCTGGAGAAACTGCAGGTGACAATAAGGGAGAAGACCCAGAGACACCTGGATGAATACGCCAGACAGGGCCTGCGCACGTTATGTATCGCCAAGAAGGTGAGTCCGCCGGGTCCACGCTGTCTCTTCCGTCCTTTCCCTTGTTTAGCCACCGTTTACTGAAAACTAGCATGTGACAAGCCCTAATCTGGGCACTGCGGCGAGTCCCCGGACTCTGGCTGTCTTTTAGGCCAGCCTTAAGTTTCCCCTTAGAAGTTCTTGATACTGGGCCGGGCGAGGTGGCTCACGCCTGTCTTCTTAGCACTCTGGGAGGCCCAGGCGGGAGGATCGCTCTCAAGGTCAGGAGTTCAAGACCAGCCTGAGCAAGAGCGAGACGCCGTCTCTACTAAAAATAGAAAGGAATTAATTGCTTAACTAAAAATACACAGAAAAAATTAGCCTATATATATAGAAAAAATTAGCCGGGCATGGTGGTGCATGCCTGTAGTCCCAGCTACTCGGGAGGCTGAGGCAGCAGGATTGCTTGAGCCCAGGAGTTTGAGGTTGCTGTGAGCTAGGCTGATGCCACGGCACTCACTTTAGCCTGGGCAACAAAGTGAGACTCTGTCTCAAAAAAATAAAAAATAAAAAAAGAAGTTCTTGATATTTTTTTCTTACATGCCCATAAGCCTTTTTTTTTTCTTTTTTGCATCCTTATTCGGTGCCTGGAATTTGCATAGGGTCTGTGGATCATGAGTGTTGCACTAGCGTGAACACACAGCTTGGGAAGCTTGCATCGGGCTAGTGTGCGAGTATAGACATGGCATGCCCGAGCCCAAGGGAGGGATACCTGCAACAAGTGGACGGCTTGATATTTTGCCCGAGGTCGGTCCTGGTAGGATCCTGCAAGATCATATGACCTGCTTCATAGCTCTTTTTTT